AAATAATTAAATGAATTAGTTCTATTTGCTATCTTTTCTAAGTCTTCTACTGTTTCTAATTCTCTTTCTTTCATATTTACTATTTCTTTTAATTGATCTGACAGTTCTTTCATTTTTATTAAAAAAATTAATTAATTACTTTTAAACTTAGCAAATCATTTAAAATATTTCTTTTAAAGTTAAAATCATTTTATTCTTCATTAAACTCACCTACTTTTTCATTAATAAAATACGGTAGCACTCTTTTTAATTTTTTATACTCTCTTGTAAAAGCAGACTTATTTTTTGATGGTACTGATTTATAAGTTTCAGTTAATTTTAAGATTTTGATTAAAGAATCAAAATCATCTTTTATTAATTCATAAGACTTAATTATATCAAGTGCACCATCTGTATCATTCTTACAAATACATTTAATTAATTCATTAACAATTATAGGCGCATAGTACCTCCTAATCTTTTCACAATTATCTTTATATTTTAAATGACTACAAACATTTATAAGTAATCTATGATTTCCATTTTTAGATGATGTAATTCCTAAATAGGAAGGAAAGTCTGGTCTAACTACCTTAGAATTTTTAGTGGGAAGTAAAGCACTAAAAACTGCATAGTAAGGTAATAATGAATAATTTTGTTGTGTTCCATGAATGCTTTTATCAATAACATCACCATAACTAATATAATCTGATACTTCGGCTAATTGTTGTAATGTTAAATCACTTTTCTTTGAAAATCCTTTTTTAGCAAAATTCTCATGAACAAATAATGGCATTATTGAAAAGTCTTCAAAAAATAAATCAAGTTTTCTCTCAGCTGAATGAGATTTGAATAACTGAGTTGCAGTCTCAAAGATATTTAATTGTGGTGTTTTATGAGTCATTTCAATGTTTTTGATATCTTTAAGATCTTTATTCTTTTGTAAAGTATTTATAATAAATCTAATATCACTATTACAAGCACATATAATTTCTTTTAAAACTGAGTCTGGTAAAATTTTACCTTCCTGTTTTAGAATTTCTTTTAATCTCGGTAAAATAGAATTTGCAACTGGTTTTCTAAATTTAATATCAACACAATAATTAGCAAGTGTTCTAATATTGAGACTTTGTCTGTCATTGCAAATGCAAATGATTGGTACTTTAGATTTCTTAATAATTTGGACCAATTCAGGAACTCCTCCTCTATCAGAACTCATCCCATCTACTTCATCCATAACTACAACTCTCTTTTTACCCACCCCCTCATTTTGTGTTTGTGATTTCAAACTTGCCACTAACATCTTCTTATTTCTTGTATCACTAGCATTAAACTCAATTAAAGTAAATCCTAACTCTTTACATATCACACCCACTGCTGTTGTTTTACCCATCCCTGGACTACCACTTACTAAAGCTGCTGCCTCCTTATATTCACCTTTTAAATATCTTTCAATCTCATTGATAGCTGAAGGATTACCAACTAACTCACTTTTACATTTAGGTCTATACTTCTCAGTCCATGTAACTGAAGTTACTAAGTTATCTTTCTTAAAATCATGTAATTTTAATTCTTCTACATCAGAATCTAAATCAATTTTATCTATTTCTATACTACTATTAAAATTATCTAATGCTCCTTGAATCATTCCTAAAAACTCATCTTCATTAATAATCTCTACTTTGAGTGACTTTGATTTTTCTATCTTTTTCTCTCCTGGGTCTTCACCACATACTAAGTGTGTTGTCTTTGAACTTACTGTTATGGTTGATCTCCCACCTAGAACCAATACTTTCTCTTTAGCTAAATCTCTAGCCATACTCATCTCCCCTGTAAACACAAATACTTTATCTTTTAATGGTTCTTTCGATTTCATAAAATAGGGGAATAAAATTTTAGTTTATTGTTTCATAAAGATTATTTTTTATTATGTTTAATTGATTTTCTTCTAACTTCCATATTGCACAGTTTTTTAACATTATGATGTTCCCTATTTCTAATTGTGTAATATCAGTATGTCCGATTATAATACCTGTTTCATCCATTAATTCTAACTTAAAAGTATCTCTATAGGAAGTTATTGATTCTACTATCAAACATATCATTGAATTTATTCTATTACCTTCATATTCTTTCAAGTCCTTAACTTTTAATAAATTTTTATTGTATTTTAATAATAATTTTAAATTTTTCTTTTTAATATTTTGATTTATATAAGAAGTTTTAACTTCTATAAATTCATTTCTGTTATTATTATTTTCATTT